TGTCTAAATTTGAAACGGAATATGCTTTAGCCTAGTCTCGTTTACGTGTCTATGGAGATTTATTTTTTTTTATTTTATTTTTTTATGAAAGGGATTTGTGCATAAAAAAAAAAAAAAACTGCCGTAACATTTGTTTTTTGACGACTTCATAAAGGGTTATCTTTTTTGTAGGGTATTTAAACTATTTATTTGGGCTATGGATTATAAAAGTTATATTATATGCTTGTTTTTAGCTAATTACTCAAACCATGAATTTGATGATGTCGACAAAAAACCGTTAACTCATGTTTATTGTTCAATAGATTATTATTATTTAGAAGCTTAATAATGTGCAATTTCTCATGGAGGCAAAAAGTGCATGGGTCATCCCAAGTTTTACATGTTCTAGCCTTGTTTATAATTTTCCATTTTACTTTAGGTGTCCTATTTGTTTCCTTCAGATGCCAAAAATATTTAAATAGGGAAGTCTGATGTCTTTTATTTATATTATTGAAAGAGCACTTATGCTGCCTCCATCTAGCTTTAAAATCATTCTTCGTGCACCCAATGTATATCATATTAGTACTAGGACTCTCAGTGGATGATATAGTACATTGGTATACCACAGATTTGATGTAGCATTTGTTTTCTAATGGGCAGTCGTCTAGGTTTCTACAATTACATAATTTTCCCCTGTTATTGTCTGATTTAAGTGTAGGGTTTTTATTAATACTATTCAGGCATGGGGGTTTGTTCAAGATCTTATTATTGTGTTTTTTTTATTATACCTTCTAGATTTTCAGTGCATCTGTAACTCAATTTTAGGGTGTTCTTATTAAATATATTACTAAGCTTACTATTGGTGGGGAAGTGTTTATCAATTAGAGCTAAGAATTTCTGTCCTAGTTTAATACTAACCATTTGGTTGAACGGAGGGGTGTACCAAATGATTTTTCTTTTACTGTTTTTTTTTCTTTTGGCCAGTGCAATTGTCTCTATAGTTAATGTTTGCATTTTTATAACCACTATTTTTTGGGGCCGTGTTATAGAAGCCATTGTGTTGTTGGAATATTTCCTTGTTAGCGGAGTTGATGCTAATTCTATTTTCTATTGATGAGGGTATATGTTTAATTATGGATGGAGGGTGGTTTGACTTCGGGTGTATATATAAAGGGTTAGCATTTGGTTTTCTATAAGGTTGGTATGTGTTGCCTGGTAAGTCTAGAGTTACGTCGAGGAAGTTTACCCTGTTCAAATTAGAAGTACAATTATCTTTAAGTTTAGATTTTTAAATTCACTAAATATAATTTTTCTGATTTTTTCTATCTTAAAACTAGTAGAAATCCTCACCACCATGAGCCCGTCATCTCTATACAGTCCAATGTCCTTAATATCAATTTCGCGATGTGCCGTTAAGTTGTACAGTTGGAATCATATTTTTAAATAAATAATTATATTTATGCTCTACTTTTGTATCGAGCACTATTTTTTAAAAATAATAACTAAAATACTAAGGAACTTTGGATTATTTACCTAACCAGTTCTTTCCTATTTTCTATATATTTTCACACACACACACACACACACACACACACACACACACACACACACACACACACATATATATATATATGTATATATATATATATATGGTGGTTGTCAACTCGTGTCCGATTATGACTATTACTACATAACTTTTTGGAGAAAATCTACTGATGTGCTGAGCAAATGAGGCTCTTCAACCCAGCAAGGGATCTCACACACACACACACACACACACACACACACACACACACACACACACACACACACACATATATATATATATATATATATATATATATGGTGGTTGTCAACTCGTATCCGATTATGACTATTACTACATAACTTTTTGGAGAAAATCTACTGATGTGCTGAGCAAATGAGGCTCTTTAACCCAGCAAGGGATCTACATACTCTGGTACAAACAGGGCACAACAGCGAGTGTTACATTATCATGCAATTTAAAATGTCGCATGAAACCGCTTCTGGACCGACATTTCTTACTACAAATATCACCTTTCAACTGCTGGACGTCTATGGTTTTATAGTCAGTTGCCACCCCCAGTCGGTGCGCACTCTTAGGCCAGCCATCGACAAACACAGTCTACCACAATCTGTACAGATCGTGCTGCTTGCGGGTGTCATCAGGAAGTTCAACAGTGACGCCTTTACGCACATCTCGTTTAAGCTTTGCGTGCCTCCTTTTCTCAAAGTGACGTCTTCCTTCTCCGACCAGCCTCATTCCAATTAGTGCGATCAGATGCGCATTCTTCCTAGTGTTCCCGGGGAATGTTGTATTTCTTCAGCGAAGCCTTAATGCTTCACGCGCATATAAGGACTGACGGCATTTCTCTTCCCTGTCTGCACCTAATTATAAAACAATTGGTTTGGAAAGCGGCTTTCATCCATTCTGACGAGGTGACCCGCCCACCGAAATCGATGTTTTAGTATCAAGGACTCGACACTATCACAGACGATT